CTCACCCCTCACACTGAGCGCCCTCACACTGAGCGCCCTCACCACCTCCAGATTCCGGATACCCATAAACCTTTAGTTATCAACATTCAGACTGTGGCCAGCGTCCCAGCGCTCACTTCTGGTAACTCCGTGTCATCATCTGGGTACTTGTCGCATGTACACGGTACTGACACGTGCACGGTGAGGTGTGAGGTGAGGTGTGAGGCGCCCCGCCCTGTCACCCCGACCTCATGAAGGCGTGGCCCGGTCACCAGATCCAGGAGGCCGCGGGAGAAATGCTTATATGAGTCACTGGAGGTAACAGTAAACACTTTTTTCTCACTCTGGGACACGCCCTCCTCACTCTGGGACACGCCCTCCCCACTCTGGGACACGCCCTCCCCACTCTGGGACACGCCCTCCTCACTCTGGGACACGCCCTCCCCACTCTGGGACACGCCCTCCTCCCTCTGGCCACCTGGACACGCCCTCCCCACTCTGGGACACGCCCTCCTCACTCTGGGACACGCCCTCCTCACTCTGGCCACCTGGACACGCCCTCCTCCCTCTGGCCACCTGGACACGCCCTCCTCACTCTGGGACACGCCCTCCCCACTCTGGGACACGCCCTCCTCACTCTGGCCACCTGGACACGCCCTCCCCACTCTGGCCACCTGGACACGCCCTCCTCACTCTGGCCACCTGGACACGCCCTCCCCACTCTGGCCACCTGGACACGCCCTCCTCACTCTGGGACACGCCCTCCTCACTCTGGGACACGCCCTCCTCCCTCTGACCACCTGGACACGCCCTCCCCACTCTGGGCTTCAGCTCCCGGGTTCCTGTCTCATCATACGTGTCAGAGTGTTAAGTCTGGAGTGTAAACTATAGTGGGACAGCATTAGGGTGTCCGCCCCCAGTGACCGGCCGCCTGCTGGGACTATGAGGGCACCTTGGAGCACGCTTCTCCCAGTACCAAGAAGGTCCAGGATACGAGTGAGAAGGCGTAAGCGGGAGCAGCACACCACTACCAACAGCAGCTGCTCCAGCAGTAACAGCAGCAGCTCCAGCAGTAACAGCAGCTGCTCCAGCAGTAACAGCAGCAGCTCCAGCAGTAACAGCAGCTGCTCCAGCAGTAACAGCAGCTGCTCCAGCAGTAACAGCAGCTGCTCCAGCAGTAACAGCAGCTGCTCCAGCAGTAACAGCAGCTGCTCCAGCAGTAACAGCAGCTGCTCCAGCAGTAAACAGCAGCAGCTCCAGCAGTAACAGCAGCAGTAACAGCAGCTGCTCCAGCAGTAAGAGCAGCTGCTCCAGCAGTAAGAGCAGCAGTCCAGCAGTAACAGCAGCTGCTCCAGCAGTAAGAGCAGCTGCTCCAGCAGTAAGAGCAGCTGCTCCAGCAGTAAGAGCAGCTGCTCCAGCAGTAAGAGCAGCAGCTCCAGCAGTAACAGCAGCTGCTCCAGCAGTAAGAGCAGCTGCTCCAGCAGTAAGAGCAGCTGCTCCAGCAGTAAGAGCAGCTGCTCCAGCAGTAACAGCAGCTGCTCCAGCAGTAAGAGCAGCTGCTCCAGCAGTAAGAGCAGCTGCTCCAGCAGTAAGAGCAGCTGCTCCAGCAGTAAGAGCAGCTGCTCCAGCAGTAAGAGCAGCTGCTCCAGCAGTAAGAGCAGCTGCTCCAGCAGTAAGAGCAGCTGCTCCAGCAGTAACAGCAGCTGCTCCAGCAGTAAGAGCAGCTGCTCCAGCAGTAAGAGCAGCTGCTCCAGCAGTAAGAGCAGCTGCTCCAGCAGTAACAGCAGCAGCTCCAGCAGTAACAGCAGCAGTTCAGCAGTTCAGCAGTAAGAGCAGCAGTCCAGCAGTAAGAGCAGCTGCTCCAGCAGTAAGAGCAGCAGTCCAGCAGTAAGAGTAGCAGTCCAGCAGTAAGAGCAGCTGCTCCAGCAGTAACAGCAGCTGCTCCAGCAGTAAGAGCAGCAGTCCAGCAGTAACAGCAGCTGCTCCAGCAGTAACAGCAGCTGCTTCAGTAGTAACAGCAGCTGCTCCAGCAGTAACAGCAGCTGCTCCAGTAGTAACAGCAGCTGCTCCAGCAGTAACAGCAGCAGTCCAGCAGTAACAGCAGCTGCTCCAGCAGTAACAGCAGCTGCTCCAGCAGTAAGAGCAGCTGCTCCAGCAGTAAGAGCAGCTGCTCCAGCAGTAAGAGCAGCTGCTCCAGCAGTAAGAGCAGCTGCTCCAGCAGTAACAGCAGCTGCTCCAGCAGTAAGAGCAGCAGCTCCAGCAGTAAGAGCAGCAGCTCCAGCAGTAAGAGCAGCTGCTCCAGCAGTAAGAGCAGCAGTCCAGCAGTAAGAGCAGCAGTCCAGCAGTAAGAGCAGCTGCTCCAGCAGTAACAGCAGCTGCTCCAGCAGTAAGAGCAGCATTCCAGCAGTAACAGCAGCTGCTCCAGCAGTAACAGCAGCTGCTCCAGTAGTAACAGCAGCTGCTCCAGCAGTAAGAGCAGCTGCTCCAGCAGTAAGAACAGCTGCTCCAGCAGTAAGAGCAGCTGCTCCAGCAGTAAGAGCAGCTGCTCCAGCAGTAAGAGCAGCTGCTCCAGCAGTAACAGCAGCTGCTCCAGCAGTAAGAGCAGCTGCTCTTACTGCTGGAAGAGCAGGAGCAGCAACAGGAACATGAGGAGTGTCACGTGGAGAAACATGTCAGGGACACCGCCATCTTCCCCACTACACAAAGTGGCTGTTTCTCTGGTTTAAGACGGCATGACTCAGCTCCTCCTCCGGTCAGACATCCTCCAAGCAAGACCCTTCACACACCCATCTATCTCTCTCTTTTTTAGGCAATTTTTCTTATATAATTCTTTAAACAGAGTTTATCCTGGCGTGGGATCTTCAAGGCTGTGTTATGTCACAGTGATGTCTTTCCTTAAAGAATATTTACATTTAAATCCTCCTGGTAAGGATCTTTCGAGTCAACGCATTACGAATCAATTCTTCGAATTACAATAATTCCGAATTAGATATTTTAGCATAAACAATTTTGATGGGTTCTCAAGACGAACATATCAGTATTCGTGAAACGATCTTTAAACTAATATTCGTCATGCATGAGTTATCCAAGGGAGATAAGACAGGTTGTGAGCAAGTGATCCTGGGGGCGAGGAAGGGGTCTTGGAGGGGATCTTAGACGAGGTCTTGGAGGAGTGGGAGCCTCCACTGGCGTGAGAGGAAGGCGTGTTGACTGACATGTGTCACTGACTGTTGACACAAGGGGGCCAGCAAGGCCAGCACTGGTGGCAGCGGTGGGATCACTGACTGTTGACACAAGGTGGCCAGCAAGGCCAGCACTGGTGGCAGCGGTGGGATCACTGACTGTTGACACAAGGGGCCAGCAAGGCCAGCACTGGTGGCAGCGGTGGGATCACTGACTGTTGACACAAGGGGCCAGCAAGGCCAGCACTGGTGGCAGCGGTGGGATCACTGACTGTTGACACAAGGGGCCAGCAAGGCCAGCACTGGTGGCAGCGGTGGGATCACTGACTGTTGACACAAGGGGCCAGCAAGGCCAGCACTGGTGGCAGCGGTGGGATCACTGACTGTTGACACAAGGGGCCAGCAAGGCCAGCACTGGTGGCAGCGGTGGATCACTGACTGTTGACACAAGGGGCCAGCAAGGCCAGCACTGGTGGCAGCGGTGGGATCACTGACTGTTGACACAAGGGCCAGCAAGGCCAGCACTGGTGGCAGCGGTGGGATCACTGACTGTTGACACAAGGGCCAGCAAGGCCAGCACTGGTGGCAGCGGTGGGATCACTGACTGTTGACACAAGGGGCCAGCAAGGCCAGCACTGGTGGCAGCGGTGGGATCACTGACTGTTGACACAAGGGGCCAGCAAGGCCAGCACTGGTGGCAGCGGTGGGATCACTGACTGTTGACACAAGGGGCCAGCAAGGCCAGCACTGGTGGCAGCGGTGGGATCACTGACTGTTGACACAAGGGGCCAGCAAGGCCAGCACTGGTGGCAGCGGTGGGATCACTGACTGTTGACACAAGGGGCCAGCAAGGCCAGCACTGGTGGCAGCGGTGGGATCACTGACTGTTGACACAAGGGGCCAGCAAGGCCAGCACTGGTGGCAGCGGTGGGATCACTGACTGTTGACACAAGGGGCCAGCAAGGCCAGCACTGGTGGCAGCGGTGGGATCACTGACTGTTGACACAAGGGGCCAGCAAGGCCAGCACTGGTGGCAGCGGTGGGATCACTGACTGTTGACACAAGGGGCCAGCAAGGCCAGCACTGGTGGCAGCGGTGGGATTGAGTAAAGACACCACAGAACATGCCAGATAAAAATTACAAAACTAAAACACGAATAGATATTGAGATTAAAATGAACATTAGACAAAATGAGATTAAATAAGGACATAGAAGGAACAAAAAAGTGAGAATGAAGACGACCTGGCGGATATAGGTGGAAGCTATAAGGCGCCGGACCTACAGAGCTGTGCTATACTTGAGCACATCCTGTTGTTAGTTTTCACTTGTTCTCCTCTACCACAGCTACACCAAGCCAGACAAGTTATCCCAGGTTCATTTCCCTTCTTTGGGGGATTGTTGAGAGTGGTGGCGGTGGAGCAGCAGGCTCGAGTAACCAGGTGAAGTACGGTGGAGGAGGCGAAGGAGAGGGTGTAATTGCTTAACATAAATAGTGTGTTGCAGTAGGTTGGTGCCGTGAGCCGTGTCAACAGTGGTGACGGAGCACCGTGGTTCAAGTTAGTGGTGTCATGAGCGGGCGTGTGAGGACCTGCGGGAGATATCGTGGAGCAGCACGGAGGCTCCGTCATCCTCACACTGCAGGACACACAAAGATCCTCAAGGTCCTTCAGAGCTCTCCCAGCGGCGGCGATCATGACATCCTCCGCCCTCGGGGCAGCGTTCCAGGGAGCACAACGGCCTTCCTCCTCAAATTGCTCAATCTTTTTTCTGGTAGTTAGTTGCGCTGAGCGTCTTGGGGATCTTCCCAGACACCCTTGGACTTGACATTGTCGAGGGGTAATGAGACCTTCTCTTATACAGGTAAAGAATGTAAGGGACTCACGCACTCGAGCCAAGACCCATAACAAAAGCCCTCGCCCGGCGCAACACCCGGAAGAACCCCACCATCTACGTGCCTACCACCCGCCTACCCGCCCTCTGCCACCCCCCACCCGCCCTCTGCCACCGCCTACCCGCCCTCTACCACCCGCCTACCCGCCCTCTACCACCCCCCACCCGCCCTCTGCCACCGCCTACCCGCCCTCTACCACCCGCCTACCCGCCCCTCTACCACCCCCCACCCGCCCTCTGCCACCGCCCACCCGCCCTCTACCACCCGCCACCCGCCGTCTACCACCGCCCAGTCTACCACCCGCCCTCTACCACCGCCCAGTCTACCACCCGCCCTCTACCACCGCCCAGTCTACCATCCGCCAACACGAGGAGCCAGAGTCATGATACCTGAGGAGATTTATATCTTAATGCTGAGGGACGAGGGAAGCTATGACGTCAGTGACGAGGGAAGCTATGACGTCAGTGACGAGGGAAGCTATGACGTCAGTGACGAGGGAAGCTATGACGTCAGTGACGAGGGAGGCTATGACGTCAGTGACGAGGGAGGCTATGACGTCAGTGACGAGGGAGGCTATGACGTCAGTGACGAGGGAGGCTATGACGTCAGTGACGAGGGAGGCTATGACGTCAGTGACGAGGGAGGCTATGATGTCAGTGACGAGGGAGGCTATGACGTCAGTGACGAGGGAGGCTATGACGTCAGTGACGAGGGAGGCTATGACGTCAGTGACGAGGGAAGCTATGACGTCAGTGACGAGGGAGGCTATGACGTCAGTGACGAGGGAGGCTATGACGTCAGTGACGAGGGAGGCTATGACGTCAGTGACGAGGGAGGCTATGACGTCAGTGACGAGGGAGGCTATGACGTCAGTGACGAGGGAGGCTATGACGTCAGTGACGAGGGAAGCTATGACGTCAGTGACGAGGGAGGCTATGACGTCAGTGACGAGGGAGGCTATGACGTCAGTGACGAGGGAGGCTATGACGTCAGTGACGAGGGAGGCTATGACGTCAGTGACGAGGGAGGCTATGACGTCAGTGACGAGGGAGGCTATGACGTCAGTGACGAGGGAGGCTATGACGTCAGTGACGAGGGAGGCTATGACGTCAGTGACGAGGGAGGCTATGACGTCAGTGACGAGGGAGGCTATGACGTCAGTGACGAGGGAGGCTATGACGTCAGTGAGGGAGGCTATGACGTCAGTGACGAGGGAGGCTATGACGTCAGTGACGAGGGAGGCTATGACGTCAGTGAGGGAGGCTATGACGTCAGTGACGAGGGAGGAAAGAACACCTGGACAGATAAGGTGGAGGATAAGGGTGATAAGGTCGAGCAGCAGCAGCAGCAGCAGGAGGGTGGAGGGTGAGGATGGAGGATGGAGGGTGAGAGCAACACACCAAGCCCGTGGAAGGCGCCCGGACACAGTATACCTGAGGGTGCAGGCGTCTCGCCAACACACACACTGAAGGTCTTCAAGTAATGCAGCCCTCACCCATCTTGCCTCCGATCTCTATCTTAAACACCCTTAACCTCAAGTTACAGCCTCCCCCTCACCCCCCTCAAGTTACAGCCCCCACCTCACAATTTACAGCCCTCCCCTCACCCCCTCACGTTAACGCCCACATCCCTTGCTCGTGAGCCCCTCAAATCGAAGTCATGTAGCCGGTGTTGTCAAGTTGAAGGTGTAGCCTGGTGAGCGTGTAATGTGATCGCCTGCACACGGCTCAATACAAGACGCAGCGCTCTCTATAGTCCTGGTCCCCGGCGCCCGGGCACCCCCGGGTACTGCCTGCCCGCCTGCTCTCATGCCCTTGGTGATCCGCCCATTACGTCAACACTCCCGATACTACCCCCGCCTCACCCACACACTCCAGGCCTGGTACTCCTCCCTCCAGGGTCAGCCTCGGGTGGAGGACCTCCTCCACACACTCCAGGCCGGGTACTCCTCCCTCCAGGGTCAGCCTCGGGTGGAGGACCTCCTCCACACACTCCAGGCCGGGTACTCCTCCCTCCAGGGTCAGCCTCGGGTGGAGGACCTCCTCCACTCACTCCAGGCCGGGTACTCCTCCCTCCAGGGTCAGCCTCGGGTGGAGGACCTCCTCCACACACTCCAGGCCGGGTACTCCTCCCTCCAGGGTCAGCCTCGGGTGGAGGAGGACCTGAGCCGTGGGTGTACCCACTAAGCTCTGCGCCTAGTGTCCCAGTCAGTGTATACTCTCCAAGTTGAGTGGTGTTGACCACCAACTTGTCAGGTCAAGTTGGGCCTCGACAGCTGTGTGGAGTCTGGAGGTCCTCCTTCACCTTACTCTGTCTCTTCCCTGCCTCATGGTCTACAGCGGCCACGTTCAGGATTATTGATAACTCTCAATTCCTGCAAGGACTTTACATGTCGTGATCATGTCCAGTTTGGTGAGGAGTTCCCTCAGCCTCTTGCCAGTCAAGCGTCGCAACTCTCAGACCTTGTGAAAAACTTTTATGTTTTATCAAGGGCCAGTGAGTGCGTCTTTGGCTGGCCTCTCCAGACACAAGTTGTCGGAGCTGGCTACACTGTGTACACCGCTGTGCCATTGTAAATGGTCTAGAAATGGCATTGTAAATGGTGTAGGCAGGACATGTTAATGGTGTAGGAAGAACATGTTAATGGTGTAGGAAGGACATGTTAATGGTGTAGGAAGCGCAGGTAATATTAAATGTGTGGTAGGTGCCGAGGGTGTCACAAGGTGTCACAAGGTGTCACAAGGTGTCACAAGGTGTCACAAGGTGTCACAAGGTGTCACACCACCTTAAGGTTTAGTATACTCACAGGCCGCTGTCTGCCACTGACCTTGTCTATCACTCAAGCAACCCACCCTCTCCTATACTAAGCCTCCTTGGGTACAAATTGGGTTAGGTTACATAGTTAGTGCTCCCATTTTTAGAACCCCATTTGGAGTAGTCCAACAGTACTGGACGTGAAGTGTTCCACGTCCAACGGCTCACTCATGAACGTTGTACCAATAATTGTAAGTACTACCGGGAGTAGTAAGAGGGAGGAGGAAGAGGGAGCCGGTCGACCGAGCGGAGGGAGCCGGTCGGCCGAGCGGACAGCACGCTGGACTTGTGATCCTGTGGTCCTGGGTTCAATCCCAGGCGCCGGCGAGAAACATTGGGCAGAGTTTTTTTCACCCTATGCCCCTGTTACCTAACAGTAAAATAGGTACCTGGGTGTTAGTCAGCTGTCACGGGCTGCTTCCTGGGGGTGGAGGCCTGGTCGAGGACCGGGCCGCGGGGACACTAAAGCCCCGAAATCATCTCAAGATAACCTCAAGATAACTATCATTTTGTAGGATGGTGTGAAGTATATCTTGTCAGTAGCTGATAAGTCACACAAGGCGGCTTTGCCAGTCTACCATTTAACAAGGAAATAACTTGACAACTCGTAAATAACTAGACAATGACTATAAACCAAGAAAATAACGTAAAAAACTGCGTAAATCACTAACACGAGTAACTATTAAATAAGTTTGTAAATCAGAAAGAGAAAACCAAATTGATAACTTTGTATGTCAAAAGCTTCGTAAATCAGCAGAAAAACAAATCATTTTACATGACCAAGCTTAGTTATTACAGGTGGAGAGCAGCGCAATAATTAGTGAGAGAAGACTTTGTGGGTGTCGCTCAGGCATGACGGTGTGGATAGGTATCTGTGGGGCGTTGAGGTCTCCTTCCTGGCACACACGTGTCCGCCTCTTGTCCCACACACACTCACACACACACACACACACACACCACACACACACACACACACACACACACACACACACACACACACACACACACACACACACACACACACACACAACACAGCCATGGACGCAATAAAGAGATAGCGAGACAGCGGGAAAGAAGGGACCTCAGAATAGGTCTGATACACATCCTGAGCCACATACCAAATGCCGCTCTACAAACCTGAGAGACTGTTGGGTATGCTGCGTATTGCTAGACTATAGGGAAGTCCTCGACACAGTGGTCCAATGGAATACCACTTCGCAATGTCGAAGAGCCAGCCGAAGGAGAGGTAATGGGTGACTGGACCATCACAAGACCACATGTGAGCAACTGCTACAGAAGCAAAGGACCCAGACTCCATATATGGGTCTAACCATGATTAAGAGGCGGAAACCAAGAGCTCCAGCTCAACCTCCATACCTATATACATACAACAAGCTGAATACCCACATCCAGTAGTCCGCAGCCCTACACTGTAGTCCGATAAACCTGCATGCTGCCCCAGGTCCTGGCTACTAACCCCGAGCTCTGGA